TTAAATCAGTCGCTCAAAAGATATACGCTATAAACAAAAAAGTTTTAATTATTGGGACAATTTTTTGAGTCAATGTATTACGAGATTCATAAAGTTTCGGTTGTTTCTGTAAATATCACAAACACGTAAATATTTGTAACAAAACGTTCAGGTTTCCAAATATATCATACTTTTTTACAAAGAGGACTAAATACAGCAGGTGATCGCAAATGGATTCAATTTCTTTATGATATTCGGTTTTGGCTATGACAGGTCGATCAGCTATGAGCTCTGCCCATGACTTTGACTCAAATTCTCCTATTTTTGACTTGAGTGTAAGATCCAGGATAAAGCTGTGTGCCAAACTGTACAATAGGAATAAATTGAATTATGAAATGAACGTAATATTTAATTGATCTAATATTAGCAAAAAAAGCTTACTCAAATTTCGAAGTGATTTGTTTTACACGATACTTCTCCATTATTGAAATTAATGACGGTAAAGAAGCATTCTGCTTCTCCAATGATGGTGAAGCATTCTGAATCATTCTTCGTTTGATTGTCATTCACAAGGGAACTCATTGCCATCACTTTCAGTCAAAAAATCATAACCATCTGACACAGTACCACGTCTTTTTCCTAAGACACTCTCTGCATTTTCAGAATTTTCAGCACCCTTAAGCTCTTCATTATATTTGAGCTGATAAAACCAGTCAGTTTGTATAATCTAAACGTGTGAAACAGAAAGTAATAATTGTAATTCCATACCATTGTATTATTTACATTCTTGATGGAGGAATTGATATTTACGACGGAATCTTTGAAGGCTTCAGTGGTATCTCGCATAATCGAACTAGAGGCTTCGAACTGCGATTAAAAAGGTCATGAGTAAGAGTTTGATTATAACATAGAATTTATAAATTTGTTAAATATGAACCTCAGCACGTTGTCTCTCAATTTTATTCCAGAACGTATCAACTTTTTTAAAGTATTTACGATGTCCCTAGAGTACAAGTACACACAGAATTAGTAGACCGTTTCAAAGAAGATAGCATTGCTAGAGGCAACACAACGGGCACGTGGACCGTAAGGTGAACAGCGCGTGGAATGCCACCCTTAGTTGTGCGGACTTCCTCCCGCAAGAGAGGTCATTGCAACCTCAACATGCAGTACAAATGGACAAGATAGTAGATGACCAGCGCGTGGAGTAGCCATTAAAATCTTGTTCGGCCTCCCTTAAGCCAACCAGCAATGTAAAAAATACGATAAAAAACTGAATAAAAACTTTGCCTTATAACTATCATCCAACCGATTGGCAACCTTCTTCAATTGTCTCTGAGCCATTCTTCAATAATTTATGATCTTTTTTTAGTAGGTACGACTCTTTTCGAAAAGAGAAAGTAAAATCTGTTTGTTTCGACCGGTGTTCGTAAAAATCTAGGAAGTTATATTTTTTTGGCGGTGTTATGTCAAAGTCGGTACTCCACGACATGAAATTTTCTTCGGTAGACATAATTACAGCTTGCGAGACGCGTAAAAGAAAGATCTATTGATAGGATTGTCGCACGATTACGTATCAGTTTTATCATGTGATAGATCAACCTAATCGCACGTAAAATAATCAAAATTTTGATTGGCCTCATCGTATATGCCACTGCAAATATGACAACTCATCTAATAACCCCAGGCCCTATGGGGTGCTCTTCGAGCATCCGCACTAAAATTGAATCATATTATTCTAGAGTGTATAGTTATTAAATCAAATAGGTCTAATTATCCTAATCGATAAATATGTCTGGTTTTGATATCGCTACTATCATTGATAAAAAAAGATAAATCACTTCCTAAACCATATATTAATCGTCCTGGTTTTGATATTAAGTATGTTGTATCATATATATTACATTATGGTGGAACTTATGCTAATGAACTCAATCAAATTTTCGATAATGAGAGATTATTTGACACTTTATCTACCATAAAACAGAACGAAACACCTGTTCAATGGGCAATACGAGTAAGAATTCCATTACAGAATTTATTAACTGCTGGAAAATTTAGTGTATATCATCGATATTGTTTATTTATGTCATATGGTAAAGGTAAATTTGTTAATTTCGATTATTACAGATCAAGGATTCATAAATGTCATATGGCTATTTGTTTTGGTTGCTGGAAACTCGTAAAAATTGATGATGTACAAAAATTACATCATGGTAGATGTAGATATATTGATTATCTTGAACCTAGCGATTTGATACAAGATCATTGGAATCGTGAATGTGATAAACCAAAGACAGATTTCGGAAAAACAAAGATTATACAAAGAGCTTGGAGAAATTATAACCAGAGGCCTGAATCATTAGCAACCCAAGCTTGGAATTCTCTAAAGACAGATAATTATCCCAACGATAAGAAGTTTTTAGGCATAACTCCTCAAAAAGTAAATTATTCTGATGGTTATGGTTACATTGACTATAATGGAAAACAGTTATTTTGGCATTTCAAAAGTCCTAAATTGTAAGTAGAATCCAAAAAAAAGTCTTTTAACTTATAGACTATATGACTATGTGATAAATTTATTGCAACAGAATGGATACAGATTAATTGATGATAGGTCTTGGTATATGATGTTACAATGGGTGGAGAATCCTACCAATACCTTAATAACGATTGTTGAGACTTTGTGAGAATATAACCTGCCTTCTCACATACAGTATATGTTCAAAGTCAGATTGTTGTAATTAACAATATATTACCTTTGACTAATAATTTTTTCTTGGTATTTTTTTTGGCAGAGGTGCTCCAGCTGAAATTTCTTGATAAAATTCTTTAACCAGTTAACTATATAGTTTTTTTCAAACTTGAAAGAAAAAAGCTAGTACTTTAGACTTTATTTCATTATCTTTTCTAAAGAAAAGCTGATATCATTTTTTACTTTGATTTTTATATAACAACTCATTTTCATCTGACACAAAAATGCCTAATATTAATAATAAATTGCACTTGTTATTATTATTTCAAAGAAATGACTCTTAGAGTCTACACATTTATTTAAGTTTCTATTATGACTGGATATAAACAGCTTTTTAATAAAAGGGACTAATAAAATATATATTATATTTTTGTATTTGTCAATATTCAAAACTATCTTTTCAACAAGGTCATTCCTTTTTATTTTTATCTTGATCAAGTTATAACTAATTATTATAACAAAAAATAATGACACTAATTACTACTTATTCCTAAAAAAAATTATATTCCTTGTTTTTTTATTTATAAATTAAAGACTGTATATTACATAACAAATATAAAAATAGCTATACTTCATAAACAACTTTCTGAATTTATAGGTTTCAAATACAATAAAATTCATTTTTCAAAAACAGAAAGAGATCAACAACTATTTCAAAAAAGTATTGCAGATTAAAGAATAACAATCAATATTGTGTTAACTTTTTTGGTTTATACGGAATATAATAGTAAAGATAATCAATTAATACATATCAGGTAATTAATATATAATATAGAAAAAATATAAAAAAGCTTTGTTAAATATCTCTCATAATATTAATAATAAAATTATAACATATCTTTAATATAAATTCAAAAAAATTCCATTGGCATCAATAATAAGGTATACAAATATCCTATCACAATTAGATTTAAAGTATGATATTATTAGTTAATAAGATAAACTCAATTATTATATTCATTAATATCTATATTTTTAAATATTTTTTTTGAGCAATTTACTTTTAATATAGGTAGTAAGTCATATATATATAGTATTTTAATAAGATCTATACTCTCTCTTTTACATACGGATATCTTACTTTTTTTTAATTATGTACCTATTGGCTATCTAGATCAACCTTGCTATTGGAGTAAAAGTGTTTTGAAATAATAAGAAAAGAATAAATGCCTTGAAATTTGAATGTTAATTTTAATCCTTTATTATAACTGTCTAACTGTATTTCATTTAAAAATGATGATTTATAAGATAGAAATTTTTTACTAAACAAATCTTTAAAAATATATTTACATTAATATTCATTAATATAATAAAAACAAAGTGGATAATATTTAAATTTTGTGACTATTAATAGATATGAATATTCCTACTAATACTTTTCATTTTCACAAAATCAAAGATATATTCAAATCTATTTATATAACCAGTTTACCAAAATACTTCCTACAATACTTTCTAATATATTGTTATACTTTAACAATTTTATTAATAGTATAAATAATATTAACAGATCTGAAATAAGTGTTTCTTTTTATATATTCTTATTTGCTCTATATAACTTTCTTTAATATTTATATTTTTTTTTATTTAATTAAAAAAATGCAAATAGATTAAAATAACAATTTTTTTTATAAATTTGATATCAAATTATATGTTCATAAATTGATCCATCCAACTTATCTAAAAAATTGATTATTATTATACTTCTTTAAATTGAACATCTCTTCCATTTTATACCCTTGATTATTTACATATTTAAAAACGTCTATATATACTAATTTATTATTGAAGTTTCTTTTTAAATTAATATATTTCTCATAATCAATATCGATATTATTTTTTTTTAGCTTTATAATATCTGAAATCTCATTCTTATCTTCATTATTATAATAATGATCTTAAAGATCTCAATAGTATTCCTATCTTCCATCAAATCATAAATTTCATCCTCCTCTAAATTATTTATTTCAAATATAACATTTGAGACTTGCTGAATATCAATTGATCTCTTAAATTGAATTAATCTATTCTTAGATTAGTTATCACTCTTTATACCAGAAAAACACTTGACTTTATTCTTACTACCTTCATTCTACATAGCTTTTTATCTATTATTTAATTTATTAAAGAATTTTTTTTTTTGACACACACAACTTTGCCCATTTTATTGATTATATGCATTATATTTACTCTTGTATATAAAGCAATTTTGTAAACTTTTTCTATGCTTAGCGAAACAATAAAACCAATTGATATTAAACCCATTGTGGCGTGTTGTTCACAAAGGAGGTACTAACGTGCCTAGGCTCCATTAGCATGTATGAATAAGATATCAAAGATGCTTGAGAACCCTTGGATAATGTTTTTCAAAATGACAATGGTAATCTCTGTTGGTTATGTTTGTGTTGACCCTTGGAAGTGGGATTGAGATTGTTTTCCTTTTACTTTTTTCTTCTTCGTTTTCTTCATTTTATCATAATGCCTTGTGCCTTCTCCCATATTTGGAGGCACTCACACCTATCTCTCCAGATATTGTATGTGATGAAGTGGATATTTTTTGTATAACTTTGAATGGCTTCTGTGATCTTGTTAGACTTATAAACTTGCTGACCTTACTTATTATCTTTTTGCTGATGACTCATTTTATTAGAAGGTTCCATAGATTGAATTCTTGAATGTGTTCAATGATTTTGTCTTTTGTAGTATGTAGGCTTCTTTTTTCTGTTCTTGCTGTGATTTCCCGATATATTGTTGAGAAGATTATTTCTTCAATTTCAATTCCATGATGTGAACATCAGAAAGGGTGAATATTGTCTTCTATCACGAGGCATGCAAAACATTGGATTGAGATGTATATTTCAGGTCTTTTTTTGTATAATTTATCTATAGTTGGGAGTTCAGAATTCCATAGTTTAATTGCGAATCTTCGTTAGATGTAATCAAAGCTGTCTGTGTGTGTTTCAATGAATTTGGACGAATGTAGGAGTTCTGTGGATAGTTTCCAGTTTATTGCATTTTGCTGAGATGGGAGTATATTACTATTTTTTTAATGATTTTTCTATTATATGTGAGTTCGACTTGTCATATCGGT